CGATATCGGCTATTTCCTTAGAGGTAGTAACTTCTAAAGAGCAAAGTTTAATCTGCCATTCTTTTTTCTCCTTTTCTAAATATGGACGTAAAGGATTATTAAATCCAGCTACAACATGTTGATTGCCTAGAAAACTTTGATTTTAGCATATCTACCAATCATTTGTCAAGCTTTATGAAAAAAGCTGGAATTTTGGCATACTTGAAATATTACTCGAACACGACTTTCTTTTTTTTGTGACTACATCTATTTACAACTAGTATATTTGAGCTGCATCTTTCCTTCATTTAGCATGGGCACAGTTTCTGTTTCCTTGGTGTGCTACATTGTATTCGAGGCCTTTTTTATGTCTAATTTGATTTTGCATCTGCTCACATGAACAGGTCAAGGCACTTGCTGAAAAGGCTCGAAGTGGAAAGCTAAAACCCAATGAATTCCAAGGCGGCACTTTCAGGCAAACTTTTATATTACCTTCGAATTGGCTCCCGAGCTTAGATTTTTTAAAAATTAAATGCTTCCTTTAATCAGTTTATTTGATGGTATATCTGATATCTCACGTGGTCTTTATGCAGTATTTCAAACTTGGGGATGTTCCCAGTAGACCGGTTTTGTGCAATCATTAACCCCCCTCAGGTTTTTCTTCTCTCTTGCATGCCTTTTAAAAAGTTTTTTTTGTTGGTTTTGCAACTCTCTGCAATTGTAATCTGGGTTTCTCTCAGGCCGGTATACTTGCTGTTGGTAGGGGGAATAAAGTTGTTGAGCCAATTGTTGGTCCCGATGGTAACATCGTGAAATAATAGTGCTCTATTTCCATGCTATTAAAATTCATTTAAAAGAAAAAAAACTTATCGTCCAATTCACTTTCCAGGAATCGAAAAGCCCGGTGTTTTCACAAAAATGAACCTGACACTATCTGCTGATCATCGCGTGTTTGATGGGAAGGTTGGAGGTATGTCATGATATGCATGCCTCCACATTAACTCAACACAAAATAAAATTCCACTCCCCTCTCTTTAACTGTCATATATGGAGTACTCGATCTAACTGATGTAAGTTTTTCACTTCTTACCGGCATGGAACTTAGATTGAAAATTACATTTATGTTTCGAATTTGCACAGGTGCTTTCTTTGCAGCTCTGAACTCAAACTTCAGCCACATTCAAAGGCTTCTGCTATGACAGCTTTGCTTCAATTTTGTTCATACACAAAACTAGTTGTACTTTCATTGATTCTCACGTGGACTCGCTTCCCAAGGTTTTTTTTGGCGCGATAGCCATGGGTTTAAAAAATGGAAACACTTTCTTTATACAAATAAGGTTAGACTGCCTGCGTCGTAACTATAGTTGATCATAGTGGGCATACGACAATTTGCTGTTCCATTTTTTTCATCATCAAGCATAAGGTCCAAATGGGACATTCCCATATCTAGATGATCATGTAATAGATTATATCTTTGTTGCTAAACGGGTGGGCGAATTGCATGCCCAGAATGTACATATATTCGATTGTTTTTTTGTCGTCGAGGTAAATGAAGTTATAATCGTAGTCTAAACATGGAGTGAGATCTGTCTTTAGTCCTAACAAGGACCTTATGCAAAGCATAAAAATCTCAGTCTTGTTAGTGTATCGGTATGCAACTAGCTAGCCAATGGTGCAACGCCATGTGGCGACACTTGGTTGGCTATCAGAATTTTGTTCCGAACAACTTTATTTTTTGGGACCGACTCCAAATCGTGAACTGCTGGGAGTTTCAAATTTCGAATGTTTCACTTTTTTACTTTTTTTTTTAAATTTATACTCCCTATGTTCCCGAGTATTTGTCTACTTTTGACTTTTCTGTCAAAATTGAAAAACTTTGACTTCAAATTAAATAAAAATTAATTAGATATTGACACAAAAATAGTTTCGTTAGATTTATTATATCAAATGTTTTCAAAATATCATTTTATCTAACTAATATACAATATATATTTTATTTAATTATAGGTCAAATGTTGAAAATAGTTGAATACAAAAAGACAAAACTGGACAAATACTCAGAAACAGAGGTATTTTTTATTGTGGTTTGTACCAAAATATTTTTTCTCCCTCTTGTTCATTCAGTAGTTCGTTTTGTACAAATTTACTAGAACATGATCTGATCTCTAGGGTGCTGGGTAAATTTCAAAAATGGTACCTGAACTTTAGCTGGAATTTCGAAGTAGTACCTAAACTTCAAATCCTATCACAAAAATCCCTGAACTTACACAATCCTTTCACTAATGAGCCATTAGCCCGTTTTTAGGTTAACTTCCGGTCATTAGGGCCAAATTCGAATTTTATATATTTTAAAATTTTCAATTTGACCCCATTTCTTTTTTTCTTTTCTTCCACGCCCCGCCGCCGCCGCCCGCCGGTCAAAGTCGCCGGAAAATGAACTTTTTCCGATTCCGGCGGGACCAATGTCATTCTCTTCGTCTTGAGACGAGGATCAATAATATCCAAACCATTTTGTCTAATTTGGGCTGTAACTTCTCGAATCTGAATTTTTCTACTCGAAAAAACTCTAAAATTCGAAATTGGATCCAAAATTGGGGGTTTTGAAAATCTTCATCAAATCTTGCAATTGAGGGGTCCTTGGAGGTCGCCCGGATGCCACGACCGCATTGGAGTTGGTGCCCGCCGTCAATTTCGCCGGAATCGGAAAAAGTTCATTTTCCGGCGACTTTGACCGGCGGGCGGCGGCGGCGGGGCGTGGAAGAAAAGAAAAGAAGAAATGGGGTCAAATTGAAAATTTTAAAATATATAAAATTCGAATTTGGCCCTAATGACCGGAAGTTAACCTAGAAACGGGCTAATGGTTCATTAGTGAAAGGATTGTGTAAGTTCAGAGATTTTTGTGAAAGGATTTGAAGTTCAGGTATCACTTCGAAATTCCAGCTAAAGTTCAGGTACCATTTGTGAAATTTACCCCTAGGGTGCTACCTCCAAATCCGTTGTTCTAAAATTAGTTTTGTTTTTGCTTCTAACATAACTTCAATTTTTAAAAAAAAAATAATCAAAAGACACAACTTTTGTGAATTTTGACCATTATGAAAAAAACGAATGTGAACTCTATTGCTTGATCTAAAATTGAAAAATAACATTCGGAGTAGTAATAAATAAGGAAAAATAAGTTTGCACGAAATGAACTTATCGATTTTGAGTGTAAATATTTATTGAAAATATTATGTTGAACTTAAGGATTTGAAATAAAGGTTGTTTGGAGAGTAAAATGAATTTTTGAAAATGACTTTTGGAAAGTGATTTTTTTAAAAAGACATTTTCCATTCAATTTTCTTTTGACATAATGTTTGAGAGATGGAAAATGTAAGAGATGGATGCTCAATTCAAAGGAGAAGACCCGAAACCGAAAAGGTCTTCTTCAGTTGAAGATTTGTCAGCAAAAAAAACCCTGAAAACATGCATAACAACTCTTATGTAATGGCAATGGAGAAACAAGTGGTGGTAAAATTGGCAGCGCTGGCTCTTGTGCGTTTGCGATGGGGATGGGGTTGCGGCTCATCTTCTTGATTGAAAGATGAAGTGCACAATGAGCGGCATTTAAGGGACACGTACGTTTATTATATGCCAAAATCTGTTGAAGAGAATAAAATAGTGATTCTCAAAATCGACATGTTAACAGCTTACAATAACTGAAAATTAGAGAAAACGATTTCTTGTCATTTTTTCCCTTTCTAAACAAACATTAGGCCGTGGGATATGGGCATCCATGGACTAAGATGGACCCGTTTTTTATCAGAGAAACTCCATGTTCATTTGTCAAAACAATAATAGGAAATACGGACATCTATGGGAGTATATTGAATTATGGAAATATATTTAGATATTTATTTGAGCAAAGAATATATTTTATTCGTTCGAAAATAAAGGGATAGTTTGACTTTTTGGTTAAAATGTGTCACACTTTAATCATTAACTGTTGCAGTTTTAAATAAATAAAACTTACATTGTACAAAGCTTTGATATATTAAAATTGTATTTTACAATAAAATCAATTACATTAGATTTATATTATCATCAAATATACTTTTCCACATAATTTGTAATCAAAATGTGAAACAGTTGGACTAATTAAAAAATGAAAATTTCCCTTTTAATTATAGGAGGAAGATATAGCATTTATTTGTAAGTGTATCGTGGAGATACAAAGTATTTGAATATAAATATCACAACCACTAGTGCTGGTGAATTATGATCGTGGCTTGAATGTAGATTCGTGTAAATATTTTAGAAACAAATAGAAAGGCAAAGAAAGAAAATGTAGATGCAATATTTTGTTTAAAAAAAGAGAGTTTAAATAATCAAATGAGACAAATATAAACCATTGGTGTAAAAGTTGTATGTCAGTAGTTTTAACATCCACATATTACAAAAAATATCAAAATATAAATTTATGTTTTTATTTACCAAAATACATTGTAGTAATGTAACATTGTACATTCACATTTTATGTAATGAGCATGGTAATGATTGGTAATGTAAATGAATTTCAACTCGTATTTGTGGAATAAAAACATAAAACTCTTATTTTAGTATATTTTCAATGTTTTACTTCTATTTTAGTCTTTCTTCTATTAAATATGAGTCTTCTCATTATTTTCATGGCCAGACAAGTAAATCTTTCATTTTTTGTATAAAACCAGTATAAACTCAAATGATATATACTCTTTCCGTCCTAAAATTAACTTCCTACTTAATTTTTCAAGGTTTTCGATGTTACTTTGACCATTGATATTTCTATTTTATATATAATATATATTATAAAAATAATATATTTCAAAATAAACATACCGATAAAAAATTTATATGAATATTCAATGTATGTTCATCAAAATATGCAAATTTCAATGTATGTTCACCAAAAATTTATATGAATATTCAATGTATGTTTACCAAACTTATGTTTTAGTCCTATTCAGTGCAAATTTCACATTAACAATGTGCCTAAACAATTAAACATTCAAATGAGGGGCTGTTTGTTTCAACCTCTTAATGGTTCAGATGTCTGAATGGTTCAGCACTTAATGGTTCAGACTGTTTGTTTCAGCCTCTTAATGGTTCAGATGTCTGAATGGTTAAGAGATTTGCCTCTGAATGGTTAAGTATTATACAAAGTCTGAATGATTAAGACCTCGTATCTGAGTTGATCAGATATTTGCCTCTGAATAGTTAAGCAATATACTAGCTTTTAATAGTTCAAACCTCTTACTGGTTCAGCACTTAATGGTTCAGACCTCTTACTGGTTCAGCACTTACCTATTCAGAAGTTGTCCAAACAGGCCTGAGTAAAAATAAACTGGCGCACAATTAGAAAATTGTTGGGGGCGGGATGGCGGGAAAGCCATTGATTTGGGAGGGAAGTAGAATTTCCAGTATTTAATTACTGGAGAAGTGTTCTTGATGTGGAACCCTAAAAGCGCCTCTGCGTCCCCTCTCCAACAACACAGTCAGCTTACTCAGCAACCGTGAAGCCGGCACTCGGTGGCGTTTCGTCGCATCCGCCGTAAGTTCTGTTCTACTTGTTCTGGAAATCCGGTTTTAGGGTTTGTTTTCAGACTTCGTTGTATCGGATTCACCTTTCGTTATGAAATGGCTAAACGTAGAAAAAACGCCCTTTTGTGGTTCCGATTTAAAATTTTAGTGTTTATTTCAATTTTAGGGTTTTAGATCGTTCATAACTATACTTGTACCATATCATCAAGTTATGGAATATGGTCTCTAACTCTATCAGTTTTAACTTCTACAGAGTATATATGCTAATATAGATACTGTAATTTCCATTGCTCTGCTAGGGTTATGGTGATACTCAATGTGTTTTTTTTGCGCATTCTTAGCATTTGTTCAAGATTGGTTTGGTTCACGGAATTGACAGAATTTGAATTGAACTGGAAGTTGAAATTTTATGAAATTGATTTGAATGGAATTGGATTCTTTCCAATTCATTTTGGCAATACCAATTCCAAATCCATATATTTTTGTGCTACCAAACAGCAAAATTGGAATTATTGTCTCCAATTCCAATTTCATAGTTTGAACTCCATGTACCAAATAGAGCCTTAATGTAATTTCTGTAATTCTGCTTATTTGCTAGGCTAGATGTTGATACTCAATATGTTGATTTTTTTTACGTTCTTAGCATTTGTTTATCTAGTATCTTTTGGCTGTGGAACCTTTTATTTATTTCATAGGTTATTTTGCAATGACATTTTTATGGTTGTGTTTGATAGCAGAGGAAGTGTAGGGTTTTATCATTCACTGCAATTTTTTGTATCTGTCTCACCCCAACTCTACAATATTGAAATAAAAAGAAAAGAGAAAATGTATCACTGTAAGAAAAGAAAACCTTTTTTTGGTATTTGCTATCGTTCATTCTCTGTTGAGTTTAGCTTTAACCTTGGAAGGTAGAGATTATTTCTGGAGAAAGATAGATAATCTTAAACTGAGTGTTTTTATAGATTTATGGTCTGAATTTGAATTTTACGTAGGATGTTATTGTATTAACTAGTTTTGAAGTTTTGTAACTATAGTAAAAATGGGTACTATTGCTCTAAAATAGCATTTACAAATTACTATGTATATCCTTGCTTAAATTACTTTTGAATCACTTTTGTCTTATTCTAATTTAATCTTTTTATTCTGAAATGTCCTACTTGTAATCTTGTTCTTTTCTTACCATGGTTTTATTTCTCATATCTTCTTTATAAACTTCCCACTATTATCTTTCAATGTTCTGTGTACCAGTTTTTTTAATTAAGTTCTCCATAACACCCTGTTAAAGTAAAGTATGGTAAAAGACTATGGTTAGTTCCTTGTTCTGATGGACTGTCATTATTTTTGCACTTTTACTGCCTTTTCACTAACACTTTTGGGTTACTCCTTAAATACTTGATTTCTATTATGTATTGTGAAAATGCAGTAAAATTGCAAAACCACAGTAAGGTGGGAAAGAAGGGATAAGGCAGGAGATCCAAAGCAAAAGAAGAGATGTATGGTGGGAATGCCTCTTTCGACAGCAATGCAGCCTTTTCAGGAGGGGGCTACATGCAGTCCCAGGCGACTCAATCAGCTACCGATCCTTCCTACTCTGCACCCAAGAGCCGAGATGCACAGTCATTGCTTCCCCTGACAGTGAAGCAGATAATTGATGCAGTCCAAACGAGTGATGATAAGATAAATTTTCTAGTAGATGGTGTTGATGTGAACAATGTGAAACTAGTGGGCATTGTGTTCAACATAGCTGATCGGGCAACCGATATTTCATTTGCACTGGATGATGGAACCGGACGCATTGACTGCTACCGGTGGCTGAATGAACCATTTGACAAGACAGAAATGGGAGCCATCTCAAATGGGATGTACGTCAAAGTCCACGGACACTTGAAGGGGTTTCAGGGCAAGAAACAGCTGATGACTTACTCTGTCAGGCCCGTGGAGGATTACAACGAGATCCCCTATCACTTTGCCGAAGCTATTTATGCTTTTTGCCACAACACGAAGTCGCGCAAGCTTCAAGAGGGCACTTCTCATCACATGCCGAATTCAGGTACCAACACACCCATGAAGGGGTACCAAGTTTCCCAGCAAAATTTTGCCGGTTTCACCACTGATAAAGTTACGGGCGTAGAGGAGATGGTCTTGAACTATATGCAGCAGCCCTCCTGCGTTGCACAAGAGAAAGGCGTTCACCGGAACGAGCTTGCTCAAAAGCTGAATCTTCCACCCGAAAAGATCTTAGCAGCAATCGAATCCCTGGAGTCAGATGGGCTTGTTTACTCCACAATTGATGAGTGGCACTACAAATCCACCGTTAATGCCTGAGATAGCAAAGGTGAAGTACCCTTCCCAATCTTTGGGCAAGAGAAAAATGAAACTATGTTGAAAGTGTTATCCGCTGACTTTCGTACTTATTATTATTATTATTATTAATTTTAGCATTATATTTATAGTTTTTTATATTTCTGTCATAACCTATGGATTTCTTAGTTTTCACAGTAGAATGCATTTTATGCTCGAGAAAAATTGTACCACTCATATTTTGTTTAGGTAAATTTATGGTGGCTTACAGTTTGACAGCATTGTATTATTCATCTTTGGATGGCATTTTAATTATGAGTTCATTAGTTAGACAATTTATGTTGACGCAATTGTGCATTTGTGTTCAGTAATTAATAACCAGTCCAATTCCCCCCATATTTGCTTGATGACTACAATCATAATGGGTCATGGATTCGTAAACCAAATAAATGTTTATCTTAATATTCATACTTTATTTAAAAATACATGGAGTCAACATATGATTTTTCCGCCCATGTGTTATGACAATTAAAAATGACAAATGTGAACTTAAAATGGTAAGTGACCGAAATTATAGTAATAATTATTATAATTAAAGGAAAATCTTTTAATTATATTATCACACGGTATTAAGTGGCCGAAGTTAATACTGTATTAATTTTCTTATTATACTATCACATGCCATTAAAGGCAAATCTTCCTTTTTTTATTGCACGGTAATGTAGAATTTCATATGGGAATTAAAATTGTTTCCATTTGTATACTAATTTGTGACATTCAAAAATGATGTTAATATAATTTAGTAACTTAAATATGACACGTGCAACGCACGAGTGTAATACTAGTTCTGTATTAAGTAAAGACTTATCAATCACATGAAAAAGTTCACATTTTTAATGCATATTTTTTATGTTTTAAAAATTGTTTTTTTATTACGGAGAATTTTATAACGCATTTTATGTATTTTTTTAAATTATACCACGTATTTTTTTGAAATATTACATCACTATTTAAATAAATTGATTTAAAAATGAAATCGGTTGAGGTTGTAGTAAAAAGTGGAATGATAAATTTGAGATGGAGGGATGATGAGAGTTGTAATATGGAGTGTTTGTTACCATTATACCCTTCTAGACCATCCACATTGACACTCACAACCCAACCAAGACTACCTCAACAAAAATTAATTTTGCTCTGTTCCACCTACACAACCCAATTATGTCATCCCTCCACGAATTTTTTTGTGTGGATAAAAAAACTAGAGAATGGATAAGATATGTGTGTCTGAAAAAGGGTGGTGTGTGATTTGTATACATCTAGCATTACTCAAATACACCGGGAGTCACAACGAGTTGACGATGTGAATATTCAAACATTAACCTTTGAGGCTAATTTCAATGTATATTGAATTGGCAATACAATTCAACACTGTATGCATTACAATATTTATTTGAATAATGAAAAAAGTTTGTGGACCTGTTTAATTCAAAAAAAATAAATTTAGTAAATACGATATGAGGTAATATGACAGAGGTAATAAATGATTAACAAAAATAAGTAAAGTAAAAAAAATGTTTCACTTATAAAGAGTGAAATCAAATGATTATTTTAAAATAGACCGAGCCCGTGTTTTATGAAATAAGGTGGCATTGAGTTTTGTTTGTTTATAAAAATTTCATTGTGTTTTGATTAACTTTTATGTCTTTTTTGGTGTTTAGCAATTGGATTTTGAATCATGTATGTGTGTGCATGCATCTATCAAAGGTATGGTATTATACTATTATATACTTGGAATCTAATGTCATGGGATGACCCGAGGACGCTCCAGTGCCCCGTTCGTAAAGTTGACGATTCCTACCCCTCTAATCCCTGGTAAACTCTCCCACCCCGCCCCGACCCGAGCACACCCCCCTACCCCGTCAATTGCACCCTACAAGTTAATTTTGACTTTAGAGTCAAATTTTGACTCCAAAGTCAAAATTAACTTGTAGGGTGCAATTGACGGGGTAGGGGGGTGTGCTCGGGTCGGGGCGGGGTGGGAGAGTTTACCAAGGGTTAGAGGGGTAGGAATCGTCAACTTTACGAACGGGGCACTGGAGCGTCCTCGGGTCATCCCATGACATTGGATCCAATGTCATGGGAACCTTGTGTATGTACTTATGTATGTATGGCGTATGTGTATGGAGACATGGTAGATTGTAATATCTACTAGCCAAAAACTCAACTCCAAATGTATGGGTCATGTTAGGGTCACTCAACTCTTATTCTACCTCATACATAGATATATATAAGATATCTCAGATTCTTTAATGTTCGTACATGTCTCTGATAAAATAAGGTGAAAAGTGGTATAATTCATCTCACATTCTTTAATGTTCGTATATATCTATGAGAAATAAGGTGAAAAGTGGCATAATTCTAATTTTAGGTTAACTCATTGATTGGGTTTTCTACGTTAGGGTTTTGCTAAAAGAAATTGGATCATACTAGGGTCACTTCGCCACTTATCGTACCTTTTAAAACTCGAAGGACCAACACTACATAACTCATAAAGTTGATAGACTTTGAGCAGTAGTAAAATCACTCAAATTGAGCAAATCCTTGAGACATAGATTAAAGAGATAGAGATATATACAACAATAATTCAAAATAAGAAAAATCTAAATCTACAATTTACACTCATATATCATAGATGAATCTTTCAACATGTATGCTATAAATCATACTCAACCTTTGAGCAAATATCTACCAAAATAATCCTTGGCAAAGTAACTTATAAAACTTACAAAGAACTTCAAGAGCTCATTTACCAACTTCCCATGGATATATTACTCCGTCGGTCCTTTCAAACCCAAATGAATGCTTGGATGCTACATATCTGCAAGAAGACGTGTCGTTTCAGTGGTTTTTTTTGCACAGGCAACGAACGGATCTTAATGTGTCTGATCTTAATGTAGTTCAAGAAAGACCCTTCAAGTTGTTTGAATTTCTCTCTATCCCCTTGAAATCCTCTTACTCATCGGAGTCGTCATCCTCCTCAAAAGGTCTTTCGCCGGCATGTTTCTCTATTGCTTTTGCAGTGATCTCTCTGCTGTATCCCCAAAGGTAGTTTAAACCAACAAGAAGTTCGGCGATTGTGGCTTCAGTTTTTTCCTGGTTTGCGTAGTAAAGAGTTTGTACAAGGAATACATTGGATGTTCTTGAGACAAAGCTGCGGTGGTGCTCAAAACTCCTCTCTGATTGCCATCTGAGCATGTGATGGGCGAGTGGGGCCAGCCACCCCAATATCCCCAGCATCGCCTCATTCCATTCTTCCGCAAGGGACATATCATGTCCTACCAAATTCAGAGTCTTTGCGTATGGCTTTAGCTTTGCCCTAAGGGCTGCCCTTATGCTTGCAGGCAACATGTTGTAGAGGTCTTCTCTAGCGTCTGGTGCTATCAGGTGCGGGGACGCCACGAATTTCTCTATTACAATGATGATGTTTGCGTAGTGATGCGCTAGGGCAGCTGCCCCTAGAGTGTCTGGGGGTGCTTCAATCAACAACCTACGCGATGAACTTAGGTAAGGAGAACTGGCCCCGCACGCTAACAGAGGTCCTACAGGCGTAGGATGCTTCTCGGTCGCTTTTGAAATCTGGAGTTTTCCTCTTAAATGCCACCATTTTTGAAGCTTGTTAGGTCTGGTGATTGAGTGAGGCTTTTCCGATGACATCTCCATAGGGCCTGAGTAGAAGTTAAGTGTTTTACTACTTGCTGCGTCTGAAACAGTGTTAGGATTCTGGAGTGGGCCCGAAAAAAATGTGCTTGTTTTGGTTGCCTTCAAAACCGGTCCGGATTTAGCTAGGAGATGACTCTCAAAGGGCTCTGAGGAAAATCTAGAAAGCTTGTACTCAGTGGGATGCACAGATGAATGTGAGAATGCAACCGACTGGCTCCGGAAGATGTAATCGGATTCAACAAGTTTCAAGTTTTTGACTTCCTGATTATCATTCATCCCAAAAACATCCCTAACCCTACTGAATATAGTGAACACAGACCTTGCCAGAAGAAAAATAGTATAATCATAACTTCTGTTCCAAAGAGAGACCTCTCTAAGATACTTCACTTCATCTTTCTTCCTGGTGACCTTTCTCTCATACTCAAGAAGTAAAACAACAGTATCCGTGGGAGGATCGACACTATTACCACAGCCAACCTTCATTCTCCTCACAGTTCGTTCGAGGTCTGAAAGTGTTTCCATTTCTCTGTACAAATTAGCATTGATAGCAACGAATCTTTCCATCTTCTTAACTTTCCTCCCCATCTTCTTCCAGCTCAGTTGCCATCCATATGGGTCGGAACTGAGTTTAAGAAGCTCGTCGAATGCCAGCTCAAAGCTCCTCAAGAGTGGGTCCCGGCATTTCTTCGAGAGCCTGGTAACGGTTGATGCCATATTCCTCAAGTTCTCGCTGATCTCGCTGCATATTAGCTTTGAAATGTAAACATCGTCTTCGGAAACAAGCTTTTTTATACCAAGTGAGTTGGCTATTTCGTCCCTTAACCTGGACACCTGATCATCACTTAAAGACTTCCATAGATGAACCAGCTTACACATCAAGCTCGTCACTTCAAATGCCAAAACTCCAACTCGGAGCTTCTCCGGTTCACTGTCGTGCTTCTTTTTTGTTTTCCATAGAGCACGAAACCAAGACGACTCAGAAACCATTTTTGTTAGCAGTAAGAAACTGCAGATTGATATTGAACACAATCAAGCAATCAATCCCACTAGCTGCTTCTGAACCAGAAATTTGAAAGACAGACAATTAAAAAAAAAGAGCTTTTAATCGTCAGCATAATAAACTGGACACAATCTAAAACTAATAATTTTTACCATAATTATTCACCATCCATAACCCTTTTTTTCTTGTAACTTTCCTTTTTGTAAAAAGGGGAAAATCACGCCCACTGAAAAATGAAACCACCAAATTTTGCATTCTATATTGATTGAAAATTAATTTGAATTGAATTCACCAGAGCATCCTATCTAGTATAAAGCAATTAAAAAAGAAGAATAATAAAAAAAATCAGCACCAAAAGTAAATAATTTA